TGTGTGTGTGTGTGTGTGTGTGTGTGTGTGTGTGTGTGTGTGAAGGTATACGTTTGGTGGATGCCCTGCACACAAAAACGACATAAAAAACAACATGCATTTGTATTAAAACATTTTTTAAAACCCCCCACATGGTTCATGACAAAGATGACTGTTATTTACCTGCTGCTCATGGTGTTTGTACTGTGCTTTGAGTGTCATGCTTTTGTGTGTGCATACGTGTGGTTGTGGGGGCAAATTGCCCGCCCATGTGCTTTTTTTTCTTACAAGAATGTAACATGTGATATTCTATCTTTTCTAGTCACATTTTTTTTCTTTTTCCCTTTTTTTTGCACTTTAATGAAAATCATGTGAAAGTGCGTCAAAGACTCGGCACTGATGGTTTGGTAAGGGTTACTACCACACAAGTTTCAAGCTGAGGAGAGCCACGGCCTCTTTGCTGCAACCTTAGTAACTTTTACCCCCTCTGTGTATTAACAAACATTGTAAAACACATAATCAGACAATCAGAACAATGTGTCCTGCTAAAACAGCGCTCGTCCTGTCCTCTCACGGGGAGCTGTAAACATTGTAAGGTCTCCCGGTAGGCTTTATTTGAAGTCCTTCTTCCCCTCTTCATAGGCGACACCGTCCGCCCGTAATTCACTGTTTTAATTTATGCTCCAGCCATGTGTGAGTGGAAGATTTGTCCCTACTGTTCCCTCTCTCTCTCTCTTTTTCCATTTTTATTAGCAGCATCAGCCTCAGGCCTTTATACGGGGTCATCCTCACATAGGTTATACACAGGACGAGTCAGCTACCACTAGCTGCAGAGATTGAATGGGAAAGAACTGAGTGCATTTTTTAATTGTATATAAAAAAAAAGAGTAAAACAGAAAATTGCACAGAAGCGTGCAAATAACTCGAAAGAATGGCGCATTGTTGAAACTTTACAACAGGATGTAGCATAACCCTGAACATTATGTTCCCGCTTGAAAGACGGCAAGTATCTCTATGTGTATCTCTGCAAAAAAAGATCCCAAACCTGCCGCTGCAGCGTTTGCAGAAATGAATACACTTCTAGCGACTTTGTTTCCAAATCGACTCTGGATGCAGCGAGGATACAGACGGAGACAGGAACAGATTCCTTTCGGGATCTTTAGGGATCGTACGTGTATCCGATCATTGTCTGTTGACGTAAATTTCGTTTCTTCTCATTGTGTTTACTTTCTTGGAAACCACACCTAGAGAGATCTAACAGGCTCAGATGCCAGCCCACATGTGAGTTTATGCCAGAGATGGGGGCCAAAAGAATAGAAGGTCCTGGAAAACGGTAATGAAATAGGCGCTATTGTGTATATGTCACGATAATAATATTGATAATAAAATGAAAGGCCAGCAGATATTCTATACGCTTTGCATCTATTTGGATATATAAGCGTTGTGAAACCTTGTTGTTGTTCATGCAGTATATTTATTCCATTTGCAACATTTCAGTGATTTTTTTCGCTTTTTTGGGGGGGGTTTCTTTTTGAGACCCTTAATATACACAAATATGTACCATATCTGCAATCAATCACTACAAAAATCCTCTCGTATTTTTCTTGTTCAACAAATGAAAACAGCATTATAATGCTTTTGGAGACATCGATGAGCTTCTGAGCGACTCATTCACATCAGAAAAAAACTATTTGTGAGTAATCACACAGTAAAAGCACGCTTTGTGTTGGAGGCCTTCAAACCGTGGCAGCTTGGGAAATCTCTCTTCGTCCCCCTTTTCAGCTCTGCTTACATGCAACAATGTTACATAATATGGCCATCTGCTCTTCCACGTGGATTCAAAACTATCACTGCAACACCGCCATGTGTAAGCCAAGCCAGTCAACATCTGAACAAGGATGCTCCTTGATGGGATGCCCTTCGTTGAAATGCTCACAGGTGCGCGGATTTATAAACCCATTTATACACGTTTCCAATAAACTGCGTCTATTTGGGAAAGTTGTTTTGGTATGCGAACCTTCGTGTCTGTGCACGTCCGTTTGTGCTGGCGTTGTTGCAGTGGAATAGGCCTGAGGCACGTCAAGCAACCATAGATGAAGGACTGAGGTCCCCCTCGAAAATAACAGCAGCGAGGGAGGTCTAATTTTCATAGATGTCTGCGCTCTCTAACTAAAAGCGCACCAGTTCGAGGACTGAACGGGTCAAACAACACAGCAATTACAGCTCTACAGTGGCATCTAGCGTTACTTCCTGGAACTGTTTCTTTTCTAAATATTAAAGTCTGTTAAATGGACCAAATCAAAGGCTCAAATAAAACATATCTGCTTTGGCTGATAAAAGCCGGGTGTTTGTCGCAGGCCTGTCTGTATGCGCTGGTAGCTTTTAATTAGGGAAGAAAGCGTCTAGACCGTAGAAGAGGACCAGTGTTGCTCCTAAAAAGTGAAACAAACACACACAAACACACAAAAAATCATTTGCAGTCTTCAAATGTTGGCGCGCTATGAATGGAAGATCAATGAAAGACAAACATGCCTCATCAGATCATCAGATTCATTTCCTGTATTCATTGCACACATTAGTCAGTGCATAGTGTGCAAGTTGTGATAAGGCTTCTTTAATAACGGGTTTACATGGTGTAATCAATCTATTATTAATGGTTCAGGTATCTGTTACTATGCCAGCTGCAGGGTTTGGCATGTCTAACCCTCTAAAGTGCTAACTCTCCTTTAAAGTCCTGAGTCTTCAGCCAACCCTAACAAGTATTAAAAAAGGCACTTAGCTCCAGGGATGAACCCGCATCATGTCTACACATAACAAAGAATTAATTTCAAATTGTACAAACAGCTAAAGACTTGGCATATCTCATCATGGTGTCCACTGTGTCCTTAATAAATTAGATGATGACAATTCGAGAGAAAAAGGAGAAGAGGTAGGTGTAAAAAACTATCTATGGCAGTCATATCTGAAAATCATGTCCTTAAAAATAAGAAAAAATCCAGCACAGACCTAACGCTGGACCTGAGAGATGCATCTGCCTCTAAGGTTGAGCCATCTACTGTTCACTGAAGCCTCATCTGAAATGGTCTCAGAAGAAGGCTGGCTATCAAAAACCTAATTCTTGAGAAAGGAGTGGGAGAAAAGGTTGAGGTATGGCAAAATACGCAGGAAATGGACTCAAAATCAGTGGCAACCATTCTGATGAATGGCAACAAGAGTTATAAATCCACCTTTGAAATATTGCCTCAAATTATTGTTAATATGTATGGAGGAGGTCAGGAGAGACATACAACAATGAGTGTCTACAGCTAACCGTAAAACAGGGTGGAGGGTCTGTCATGATAGGAACTGCATTTTAGCCAGTGGTGTTGGAGACCTTGTTAAATTTGGTGGAATTGTGAATGCAGAAATGCACCATTAGGATTCGATCTACAATGAAATATCATTTGGAAAGTGTCTGATTATCACCAGCTTTTTTTTTTCAGTGTCAGTGATCCCAAAACTCAATGCCAGTGCGGTAAAAGCATAGAAAAACACAAAGTAGAACACTATCAGTCAATGATGGGCCTCCTCAGAGCCTGGATATCAATATTACTTGACAGGAAACAGAACAAAAAGGCAGGCAAATTTAAAGAAGAAGAGCTTTGAATGCTCTTCAAGAAGCCTGGAGAACTATTCCTAAAGACTACTTAAAGAAACGAAAGGAAATGTTGTCATTTCTTTCTGTCATTGCAAATCATTTACTTGAACAAGCTTGTAATGTGTGGGAGTGTTACCGGACAGATTTCTTTTCCACAGCAGTTTGCATAATAGAATAATCGTAATTTGAAGTTTATGTTTAAGTTTATTCGGTCAACAACAACAACAACAGATAAACATTTTACATAGAAGTACTCAATCAAACAGTAACTGAAAAAGGAATAGGCTGAAGCCTTGTGGCTTATAATTATCCTGTCCTTTACCCCCATAGGAATAATCAAATCCTTAACCAAGAAAATAAATAACATTGATAAATAAGTTATGTAACAATTTGAAAAGAAATCGATGATAAATCAAGAAATTAAATCAACACAAAATTATTCATCAAGCCAAATTTCTATAACCTTGTATGATACAAATTTTTAAATTCTTCCTGAAAAATGTCAAAGAAAAACATCTTCAGTTCATCATTAAGTCCATTCCATAATTTCACTCCCAAAACTGACACAAATCTATACTAAACATTAGTTCTCCTTTAGGTATTTCAAACACATAAGACCCTCTCAAATCATATTTTCCATCTCTTAGTTTACACATACTTAAAATACGAATTGGAACATTCTTTTTCATCACTCGATATATCATTTCTAAAGTTTTAGAAAATATAATGTCCATGAATTTTAACATAGATGATCCTACAAAACACTGGTTGGTGGACTCCCTATATCCAACTTTATTTATTATTCTAATGGCTCTTTTTTGCAATTTAAAAATTGAATCCAAATATGTTTTGTATGTGTTCCCCCAAATTTCCGCACAATAAGTCATATAAGGCAAATAAAGGGAAGTATACAATAAATAAAGGCAGTTCTTGTTCAAAGAGTCTCTTGTTTTATAAAGAATAGAAACAGGCTTGGATAATTTCCGTTTCA